GTAGGGAAACTTGTTTGTTATATGTAATTGTGACTTGTAAATAAAACTAGTTGATTTAATTGGTTCTTCTTCATTTAAGGATCAGAATCTAATTTCAGATTTGAATACGATATGTAGTTATGACTTGTAAATAAAAATAGTCGATTTAATTAAATTTTCTTCAATTAAATATTAGAGTCTGATTTCACGTTTGGATATGTTTGAATACGAAGTGGTGACTCTAAATACATTTTATCTTTTTGAAAACCAACTCGATAAAAGATAGTTATACTTTTTTATTAAACAAAAAAAATGTGACTTATAATGACAACAAAATAAGTTCATTAACATGACCATGATGAATCATAATCTCAGTTATATATTTTAATCACAATCTAATGCATAATGCATTTAATAACTATCTCAAATATTAAATTTTTAATCATAATCATCATTTTTATTCTCCTGCAATATTGTTTAGAAATGAATGTCTCAAAATCTAACTTATACACACAAGTATTTATATATGGACACAGAAAGACTTGGTCATGTATTAGAACCGTATATAAACTGTCACAAGTTTTTGGACACAAGTTTTTAATTTCTACAGACAAGGTTATATAATGTCACTGTTAATTAGAAGACCCTAAAATCAAGTCTTCCTCAAAACCGTGTAAACATTGAAATATAATAAAAATAAAACAGAAGGGCAAATTGAAGAAACCCTAAAAAGAAATTGGGGGAACTAGACATTGTCTTTTACGTACTCTATTATTGATGTTGTACCCATGCAATACTCACAGATTAGTCTATCAATAATGAATAAAAAAAACATGATATTTGTGTCTAAAATTTTTTAAGAAAAAAAATTGCATATAGTATTTTAAATATTTTAGAGTTTTTCTAATTATTAACGTCAAATTTATGAGTTAAAGATATAAAACTTTAATTTTTAATTAAAAATATGTAATACTAAAAGTGCTTGAAATACTGTATGTAAATTTTGCATACACTTTAACTTTTTTTTTTTTTTAGTGATTGATTGTTTATAAATAATGAAGACGCGAGAGTTCAAATTTAAAATTTTGTATATACTATTTCAACTTTCTTTCATTAGATTAACTCTAGTAATTCAGTTTATGTTGTTGTATTAGAAAAATATAATTAAATGTTGATTTTATTATTAATGTTGTGTACATATATAATAAATCATAATTTTATTAATAATTGATGTATTTTATTTTTCGTGAATTATTATTAACTAGTCCAACGTGTAAGTTCTGGTTGAATGTTTCCGCACCATTCTAAATTAGTAATGATGTTGATAATCCATTTGCAAAAGAAAAAAAGAAAAAAGAAAGTGAATTGAATGTCATAATTTCTCGTGGTAGAATCATGAAGTTCATGAATTATTCCACTTTTGTCGCATAAATTGATTGGCACATTGACTGAGTATGCTTAATAGAATTTCTGGAATCGTAAACATCCAGAGTGGGCCATTTTCTGCAGTGTTACTTTTCATAATAACTAATGTGATAACAATGTTTTGTTGTTTGTAATCAAGGAGATAACAAAGGAAGGTTACAGAAAAGTGTGTTTGAATATCTCCTTTAGAAATGGACTTGGAAAAAAGAATTTAAAAAAAGACTTTGGAAGATTAAAAAATAATTTAATGGCACCGTCAATATACATAAAGCAGTATTACCCAGTGAATCAATACTTAATATGTTGTTAAACCTATGGTGTGTGCACTGATACAAATTCATATTTTTTTAAAAAATAATTGTTTAATTATATCAAATTTTAGACTAGATTTGCAAAGTTTATAGATTTTATGGACTTAATCTGCAAAGCCTGCCAATTAACCCGTGTTTTGTTTTATTTTTTTAAGACACATATTTAATATTTAATTGAATTATTTAGACTTTTAAATTTCAAATTAAGATTTTGATGTTTGAATGAGATGTATTTGAATTTTAAATTTTTTAAAACATTAAAATTTTAATTTTTTGTTAGAATGCATAAATATTAATATATTAAGACTTTGATCTTTTATTTAAAATGTTTATTTTTATTATAAATATATTTATATTATATACATATAATTTTTTTTAAAATATATATAATATAATATTATACATATATATATATATATATTATAATTTCATTACAAATATATTCTTTTTCATGTTTTCATAGATTAAGAAAGGCAAGAAAAAAAAATTCTTTCAATTTGAAAAAAAAATTATTTAAGAAGCTCACATTGTGGTATCTTGAATGAAAGGTAAATAAATTCAATCTACCTATTTATAAAATAAAAATTGAGTTAAAAGTCATTACACTAACATGTCACCATAAAATCAATTTTACATGTTGTCACATTAACATATTTGTTTATGTGTCAATTTCTCTATAGTTTCATCTTCTATTATATTTTCTTTTTATCTTTTATATTACATCTTTTCTATGCATTTTATTCAATCCACCTCACTCTTCTATTATATCTACATTTCTATCTTCTATTATATGTCATCTTTATCCTTTATATTACATATTTTCTATACAATTTATTTAATTCACTTGTCACTCTTCTATTGTCTAACTTTCATCTTATTGAAATCGTCAACAATATTAAAAAGTATTATTTTTCTTCTATTGTCAATTTCTCTATAATTCTATTTACTATTACATCTTCCTTTCACTCTTTTATATTACATCTTCATACTCTATTTGATCCACCTCTCAATATCTATTTTTAATTCTCATTTCACACTACAATCTTTATCGAAAATACAAGGTATTATTTTTTCTTTTTATTTCAATCTTCCATTATATTTTCTCTTTGCCTTTTATATTACATCTTTCCTTTGCATTCTGTTTAATCTACTTCTCACTCTTCTATTGTCTAACTCTCATACCATTGCAATCATCAAAAAAATTAAAAGGTATTAATTTCTTCTATTGTCAATTTCTTTACAATTCAATTTATTATTACATTTTCCTTCCACTCTCTAATTACATCTTCATACTCCATCTAATCCGCGTTTTACTCTCTATTGTTTAATTTTCATTTCACATTACAATCTTCATTGAAAATACAATGTATTATTTTTCCTTTTCCCTTTTTCACACCTATCATTTTTTCACACATGTGATAACCACGTGAGAAGAAAAATAGTAAATTAGATAAAAATAATACTTTCTCTATGAAATTAAATTTTAGGTGTTTTGTTTCTATGTACAAGAGATTGTCTTGTGAAATGTGAGAGATAATAGAAGTTTCATAATTATAGGCAAAAAAGATACAATAGCAAGTGCTTCAATTTTATTTTATTCTTTGATTTGTGGATTTTTTTTAATGTTTATAACATGAATTTTAATTTATTTGTTAATGAAATAGTTAATTTTGTAGGAAAAAAAATGTTCATTGCTAATATGATTTATTTATCATTAAAAATTTTAAGGGAAAAATTATATTATTTATATAGTGTAAAATTCAAAGTTTTTTTTTTAAATTATTAAAAGGATATTTTGATTAATTAAAAGTGATTTTATAAAATATTTTAGATATTTTTGATAATTATGAGTGTTTTTATTGATAAAGAAGATTCGTGAAGTTATTTTGTGATAGAAAGTATTGGAAGAAAATATATGTTTGGATTATTTATGTAATTAAATGTATTTTGAAAAATATGTGTTTCATGATATTTTAATATATATATATATATATATATATATTGTTGGAGAAGTATGAATTAAGTTATAATTATTTCGACCTGATTTTAATAATTGTTTTAATCATTTCATATGTACATGAATATATTATAAAGTTTTATAATTAAATGATTTATTTATTTTATTAAGTGAGGGAAGAGTTTTGTAATTGGGTTAAAATGTATTTTTGTATGCTTCTCTTTTCTTTTTTGGAGGATTGGGGGAAGACTAGAAATTGTTGGAGAGCACCTCAAAGATCTGTGTCGTGTTCATCAAGGTAAAGAGAGAGTCAGTAGTCTTGTTCTGAGCATGGGATGTATGTTAGGTAATGAGATTAATCTTTAATCATGTTTTTGTTATCTGTTTTGTATCTGAGGAGTTTTCTAAAAAATGTGTCTTTATCTTCTTTGTAATTTTTTGGTGTTCTATTTGATGTTATTGATATGTATATGTACTCAATTTGGTATTTGATTTGATAAATGTAAATCTTGGATTGTTCGTGGATTCCTATGAGAACCCTAAGAGAATGCATTTTAGTGTTTGTATGAGGTGGTATGAGCATGTGAATTTATATAATTGATGGTTTAATAGAGTGATTTTAGGCTCTTAATATATGATTCTATCAATTGATGGTCAATTTTGATGATGAGTTGAGTTACGAGGTTCAAGGAATCAAAGTTTGCATTTGCCAGATTTCGCCACGGGTGTGACTGGTGAGTCATAGTTATGATTGGTTAATCAAGAATGTGACCAATGTACAGGCATGACTAAGGAGTCACGACCATGATGTGTTTTGATCTTGACCCCTCTTTAATTTTCATCGAGCCAGTCACGAGTGCGACCAACGATTCATAAACGTAATCGAAGTCATGATTGTGATCTATGAGTCAAGTTGTGACTCATACTGTTGCTCTTTTTTCTCATTCTTTTATTGTCTTTTATGCATTTTATCTCCCCTATTGCTTAAGATGAGATATACTTATGAGTTTGAGATAACTTGAGGATGATTTGCTTGAGGATACAATCTAGTAATGATAATGAAGTAATTAAATTAATGTTCAAAAGATATATAGTGGTGACAAATGTTCTTATAATGATTATAATTTAGGTGTTTTAGTAGCGTGGTTTAGGATTATGATCAATAGTGTTAGTATTGAATGGTTTTACCCTTTAGGTGCTTGATCTTATGAATGACTTAAGGTATCTATATTAGTATTTAGGAAGGAGAAATCATGAGAAAGGATAATTGAGAATAAGTTATGATATGAGTTGATTGTTAACGACTTGAGGTGTTTTGACAATAACATTTCCTAAGAAATTAATGTGTGATATCAAATAATGTTCTTAAAATAGTTAAGTTATTAATTTAAATGCTTATTTGATGTTGACCTCTTAGTGAATAATGTTGAGGTATTAGCATATGATTAGATGATTTCATAATGATTTTACCTTGAAGTGTATTGGATGATGTTGTGTAATTATTGTGTTAAACTACACACATGCATAATTATTGTATCAATTAATATTAATAACTAGTTATGATATGAGTATGATATTGACACAATTGTGAGCTATATATGAATTGATTGATGTGCTCTAGTATTAATACAATTATTGTGTATGGATCTTATGAGGGTCATATGATGAGAAGTCTAATTAGGGCTAAACCATGATGTGATTATGAATTAAAAAGATAATTAATGTACAATTATGGGTGGGAATTGTTGTGTTGTGATAATGCATGGAGTCTTACTTGGCATGTATCATATGTATAAATATGTTTTTGAAGGGTACGATATAGAATAAATCGCTAGAGAAGACCTTTGTAAAAACTAGGGGATCAATTCTTAGGAATAGTCGAGTATGGAAAGTCCTAATTTGCCCATTGTTTTGCATGTGGTGGAACTTGTGCAACTCCACTATCCTAACTAGACCCTAGTAGTATATTTTCTTAGTGAGAGTGCGTTGAGGGTGTGATCCAAATGTACTTTTAAACTACTATGTGCGTTGCTTAAGGCAATACACCACATGATGTTTTTGACTAGCGTCACATGCATGATTAAATGTACTATGTGTTTATTGTAAAGCGCATATGAACAGACTATTGTATTAGCTTATTATGCTTTGAACAATTGTAACATGTTTAAAGTATTGTTATGATTATATGTTGTATTTTGTTTGTGTATGATTATCCGACTGCATTCTATATCATGAGTTAGACTGAGATGTTTCTCACTCCCTTTGCCTTTGTGTTGTTTTTCTTGCATGTTATTGTAGGTGGTCTTTAACATGATGTTGGTGATAAGGCTTGGTCTTTATATATGAGTTATGGTCTGATAGGATGTGATATTAAGATTTAGTTAAAAAATTTCTTTTTGTTGTTATGTTTTGAAACAATTAATTGTTATTTTCTTTATAATTTTAGTTGAATTTCTATTGTTATTTGTTTAAGTCAAAATATAATATATTTTATATTAAATATTGAAATTTATTTATGATAAAATTTTCTATTTAATTTTATTTATTCATATATTATGGTATATGTACAAGAGGTATCACATATAACACTTTTTATAATATTATTTTTGTTGTCTTATGTCAAATCATTTAGTATTTCATGAATTTCTCTTTTTTTTTTATTTCTTAAATCTTATATTCTTCTTGCATCACTCACTCCCTTCTTATGTCAAATTATTTATTATTTCATGAATTTCTCTTCTTTTATTTCTTTCACCCTATTTTTCTTCTTGCATCACTCACTTTTTCCTCTTCAAAATTTAATATATTTATATCTATTATCATTTAAATGTCTTTTTATTAAAATATGGATAATAAAAAAGTGGATCGAAGATTCACATCATGATTCATAGGCTTAGTGGTTATTGGACATTATTTTTCTATTGAAGTTGTTGATAAGCTGATTTGTATTGTCTAATAATAAATTAAAATATCTTCTAATATAATTTTGTAATTAGTACAATATTAAATTGTATTTATTCAACAACTATATTTTACAATTAATTTTTAATTAAGATACGATTCATAATTTTGTTACAATTTGAATTAACAATTACATAAGATTGATTATGTTGATTTAAACCGTCTAATAATAAATTAGTAATACTTTTAATTTTTTAATCATATCATTTTGAGATTTTAATTTATTTTTTAAATGTGAATATAATACACTTAATATTAAATATTGTAGTAAATTATATGATATTTCTGCAATTTATATTAAGTAATTAATAATTTCAAAATATATTTAATTAGTTGTTACATATATTAATTAATAATTAAGAGAAAAATTTGGTCAAAATATGAGTTATAAAAAATATAAAACAATAAATGTTGGATAATCATTATTAATTATAAGAAACAAAGTTTTTTTTTTATACCAAAACTATAATGTATTATAATATGAAATTAAGTTAAAATAGAGCATATATATATATATATTAATAGTTTTATTTTATTAATTAAAAGGTTAATTTTGATTAAACTGTCGGTTAAAAATAAATAATAAATGTATAATCATTTATATTAATCATTAACAATGATGTCACAATATAAATTGATACTCATTGTAGTATAAACTATCTGAAAATTTGGATTACATTTAATTAGTTTATATATATATATATATTAATGATTTTTTTTATTTAAAAGATTGAATTTCACAAAACTCTCAATTACGAAAAAGAAATAAATATTATAGTAATTAGTATTAATGTCAATTAAAAATAATCATTAATTATTTTTTTTCTAAAACCAAATAATTAATTATTATTTATTATAAGCAAGAGAAATTTTTTTTCTTCAATGTCTAATACAATCATAATTATTATTTCAATGTATATTAGTTTACATTGTATTTGCTCATATATATGTAGATTTTTTTTTCTTTAAAAAAAAATACATTAATCTTAAAAAGAGTTACCGATAGATATGAAAAAAAAAGAATTATTCTTCTTTTATCTTCTCTCTTGAATCATATTTCTTTTAATTAGTTATGTTAAATTGTATATTTTTTTTAGAAAAAAAGTTATTATGCAAAGAAAAACTTCAATTTTATTAACTTGTGATACAAAACTTAATGTTAGCTACTACAAAGACATTACAAATTATACAAATATAAAATATATTTGTTTATATTTTAATTTATTTATTCATTAATGAAGAATATAAAATACTAAAAGATAAATTTTTAAAATATTAATACTAAGACAAATAATACTAATTTAGAATAATTGAGAATATAACTTATACATATACATTATGAATTTTTAATTTAAAGTTATATATATATATACATAGATAAAAGAAATTATATTTAAAATTATCATATTAATTAAATGATAAAATAATATATTTTTTATTTTAAATAATTTACCTTTTTTTTTATCTGCACATTCCGCGGGTCGATATCTAGTTTATTCAATTTTCACCCTAAAATGATGAATGGCCTAATTTGTCAAATTTCATGGCTTTCATAGACACGCAGAAGACAGAATATTTTTTTAATTCTGAAATATGGTAAGAAAAATTCACAATTAATATATATATATCACACAATCCTGCGGCGATACTAGCCAACTTGAACAAAAAACAGATTTTATAATATGTTCAACAGTAGTACACTATACACAATCCCAGCTAAACTAAGAAACAAGAATCAAACTAGGATTTCTCCTCAAACTTCAGCTTCAATCAATGTTCATGTTCAGTCTTAAGCTAAAAGCACAATACACTATTAACAACATGCCATTCCCTCCTCCAAGCCCTACACCCTAAGAAATTATCAGATTCACTAACTTCCACATGACACATAATTAAATACATGTTACACAGAAATTAGTTAATTAAGACTATAGACACATGATAGTCTCAAAACTACTTAATAATTTCTCCTTGCACTTGTTTTCCTTGTTTTTTTATACATTATTTGCACAAGTTACACTTCATGGACGTGGAATTACCACACTTGAACCAAAGTATTCATTCTCATAAGGATGCTGGGAACCCTCCTTATTTGCACTATTATTATAATAACTAGATGAGGTGGATGGTGATGCTGATAAAATGGGGTTTGAACCAGCCAACTGCAACAAGTTTTCAATTTCTTTCACCACATAATTCATTGTAGGCCTGTCAGAACTTGACTCTTCAACACATTGCATTGCAAGATCCACAAACCTCTCAAAACCACTTGGTGCTGTCCCCAGTTCAATAGTTGGATCAAGAACTTCCTCAAGGCCATATAAGGCTTTTGACTTGTCAATAGCACTCTTCATCACTTTCACAATATATTTCCCTCGCTCTATTGGCCTTCTTGCGGTTATCAGCTCCAACATTAGCACTCCGAAGCTATACACATCACTTTTCTCAGTCAATTGTTGAGTCATATAATACTCCGGGTCCAAGTAGCCCTACACATCAACAACAAAATTCCATTATCATCACTTGATTTGATAAGATCCATTTTTTTTTTGTTTAATTACCCTTCTAATCTTTATAATTTCATAAGTTTTATCTTTTAATATTTATTGTTAAAAATGTTCCATTTTAGTTTCTATATATCATTTTTGACTCTTTTTAGTCTCTATCATCTATTTTTATAAGGATTAAATGGTAAATTTTATATAAATATAGGAACTAAAAAAAATATATATTTATAATATATAGACTTAAATGAAATATTTTTAATTATAGAAACTAAAAAATAAAGTTCATAAAACTATAGGTTCAAAAGAGTAATTAAACCAAAATTCTTTAATATAAATGTTACCATAAACATGTATGAATAGCATCTAAGAAATGTTAATGATGCAAAATCAACCATTAATTATATTTTAGATTTTGGATTTGGACCTATATAATAATAATATTATTATTATTATTATTTTGGCTATATCTCTAATTAATGAGATTGAGTTTGCTCTTTGGGTTTGATGTCTGAATAATACGGTGAGTAATTTTATTAATGGATATAAAATTTGTTCTAATATCATTATCTTAAGAAGTTTTAGATGAGAAGAGAATATACAAACCATTGTTCCTTTGACTTGGGTGGTAATGTAACCTTTTGCTCCATCTCCCAAAGGCTTCGAGAGACCAAAATCAGATACTTTAGTATTCAAGCGTTCATCCAGTAAAATGTTAGTGGATTTGATGTCCCTGTGTATGATAGGAGGATTGGCAAGTTCATGCAGATAATCCAGTCCCCTCGCAGCACCAAGGGCTATTTTTAACCTTCTAAGCCAGTCCAATCTAATTCCAGACTTCCCTGCACACACCATAATCATGTGTTCATAAAGAGGTTAATAATCCCTTGACTTCTGTTTAAGAAAAATGCTAATAATATACTAGTATTTTTGCAAAGCTCTTTTAAAAACATTATTTAAAGAAAAATGATTGTTTATCTAAAATAAATTATTGTACACACGCATTAATGAGATTCAATTATGAATAAACTTGTACCTGAAAGAGTATCCTTCAAAGTACCATTTGCAATGTACTCATAGATCAGCATCTGTTCTCCTTGCTCAAAGCAGAAACCGACAAGGCTAACAAGATTCTTATGATGGACCCTTGATAGAAGTTCAATCTCAGTTTTAAACTCCAACCCTCCCTGCATAGATTCCTTTTGAGCTCTCTTTACTGCAATTAGTTGCCCGTTGGGAAGATTTCCTCGATAAACCTGTCAACTAATTCTGTAAGACACTTCCTAATTGTGATTAAAATTAAAAGGTTAAGTAGTGTTATAGCTATAAACTTGCAACAAATGCCTCATTTTCTCTTCCTGAAAGACTAACATAACTATGTGGTGATATTAATGATAAGTACACGAAATAAGAATATAAGGTTGGCTTCTTCACTACATATAACACTGATTGAATGTGTGTCATCTTGGTTGGGAATGGATCCCTTTATGTTAAAAATTCAGGATCTTATCTTGTGAAAATTTTATCGCTATCTTTCTTCATTAACATTTACAAATTTTGATAAACTCACCTATTTAATATCTATATAGAAATGAAGTAAACATGAGGCACTCAATACCTTCCCATAACCGCCAGATCCTATATTATTGACTTGTGAAAAGTTTTTGGTGCAAATTTGTATCTCTTCAAAAGTGAAGCGCCTTGCTCCTTTCAACTGTGGGATGTTACTATTGCTCTCATCCGGATCCCATTGTTCTGCATTTTATGCAATCAAACATTTAAATAAACAAACTCCACAATGATAGCTATAAAACAAGAGCTACGTATACAGTAACATACCAAAAGGATTGCTTTTCCCAGTTGCTCTTTTTGACTTTTTCTTCTGGCGTAGAGCATACACACATGCAAGGAGTGCTAACACCAACAGGGCAGAACCACCAGCAGCAGCTCCAGCTATGATGCCAGTATTTGAAGATTTACCGTGTTTCACGGGACCTTCTAGTACTAAATGGCAAGAAGAAAAAAAAGAGTCTTAAAATGGAGCACATACAATAATTAATTTCATTACTATGTAGAATCAGATTTACCTGAATTGTCCACAAAGTCGTCATACTCATCAGGTATAAAATAATATGGTCCAAACATTGGAGGAGGCTTGTATGTTTGGTTGCTCAAAAGAAAGCCTATACCAGAAATATCTGCTCGAGTGAAACGATCCTGGCCTGATGGAAATATTTTTAAAGTCAAATCGAGGTACTGATATGTGTTCTTCCTAGGATTGCTTATAGAAACTGAATCCACAGGTTTTTGATGAGTTTGAAAAGACTTCATTAGAGATGACTCCAGGATTACAAAGACAGACTTGTTTCCCAAGTCTGAGAAGGAAGGAGCTCTGAGAGTTAAAGTTCCTGTATATGGGTATGCACATTTGCAATTGGGGCTTAATGTCTGATCTAAGCTGCAGGGAAGAGGAACACAGTTCTTTGGTGGTGTTGAATATGAGTCATTGGATTTTGTAATGGAGCAATAAGTCTGTGGAACTCCTGTCTCTTGGCAAACTGGATTGTTCACAAGTCTGCACATAAACATGTACTAAAACTCAACCTTGTAAACAAAGACAAGGAAATATAGAAAATTTCTCTTCCTGTAGAAGTAACGAAATCACTTTTATACAATGAAACTTTCACTATTATTATGGCTTACATTATCTCCACTTTAGAAACATCGGTTTGTGGATCGAAAGCTTCAATAAAATTAATCTGCAAATCAACGAGATCCAGGTTGTTGCTGATGGATGTGCCAATATCTAAAGTGCCATTTAGCTGGTTGTTTTTCAGCATCCTATGGATCACGTTAAAAGTTTAGCTTGTACGAAAAAGATGAAATTTACTTGGAACTACTATACTAAACTTTGAGCATTAACTCTCATCACAAAATTGCAAAAGCAACACAGGTTGGTGCTCACACTGTCTGCAACTGTTGCTGACCGAACAAAGAAACTGGAATATGTCCTTGAAGTTTTGTATTCTCCATCATTCTGCATTACAAAAGAAAAGTGTGAGAATTAAGGTGTTGAAAGTTGAAATGTGAGAGATAGTGAAAGGTGATAGTCGAATGTGTAGAGAAAGAAAGACATACATTGTTGTCAGAGTTGGAAGAGTTGACAACCACGGTGGTAACTCTGATGGATCAAAACTATTATTGCTCATATCCCTAATTTAATACCAAGTTAGTCATAGTGACAAAATTAAATACAGTTTGAATTACAAATGTTATATAGGAAACAAAATTATCTTCGATAAGTGATTTACTAATTACAGGTAACTGAGGAAATTCATTCCAGTAAGGTTTGGCAGGGAACCAGACAGGCGATTGTTGGACAGGAACCTGACAGACATGAAATCAAAATCTCCATCAATGTAGTTCAAATTTATCACAATGAATATTAACTCCAAACCTAAAGAATTATGAAAAATTGTTTGGAACATTAGTTTTCTCTACTTACAATTCCCTAACATTTGTAAGATTGTTGATGTTTGAAGGCAAAGGTCCACTTAAAAAGTTACCATCAAAACGCCTGCAGCCACAAAATATTTCAAGACAAAAAGAAACAAGAATTCTATATACTAATTTAAAGTATGACTATGAGATATGGATACTCACACCACCTCCAGAGGCTTGACTAGCCCAAGCGTAGATGGAATGCTACCAGTAAATTGGTTGGACTCAAAAAGCCTGCCAAAAAGATATTATTATAATTTAAATTCATCATCTCTATAATATTGGAAACTTTTATTTCAAAAGCTTTTAGTAAAATTTAGTCCTTGTTTGTTTAAGATTCCAAACCAAGTTTGCACAATTTATAATGCATGAAACCACATTAAGAGCATGATTTCCCAAAGTAAAATAAATAAATAAAATTAAACATGAGCTAATGGAGTTTCTGAAGTGAAACCAATCAGTTCCTAATATGATGTGACAATAAGGTAAATTCCTGTTAGATGTCTTTGTAATTTAACATTGACACTACAAATTACACTTTTTTCTTTCTTTTTTTTTCAAAACCACACTTTCCCCAAACCACTGGTCCACTATCTATGGTAATGGTATGACATATGCTTTCTGTTGTTACAAGAGCTTTATTCCAAAGTAAACAAATTCCAGAAAATATTGGGATGGAACTTACACGTGTATTAGAGTCATTTCGGGGCTAAAAAGTTCAGAAGGAATGTTTCCTGAAAGCTTATTCTTCCCAAAATGACTAATAAAAATGGAATATATCAGAGGGATTGTGATATATATAAAGGAAACTATTGTAAAGAGAAAACATAAATAGATGATGTCAACTTTTGCAAAAGGTAGTTCACATACAAGTGCTTTGTATGGTGCATCATATCAAGACCAGGAGTAGTTCCATTAGATATGGGGATGGACCCTTCAAGCTGGTTTTCTGCTAAGTCTAGCCAATAAACATTTGAGAGATTACCAATGGCAGCTGGAATTTGACCACTGAAGCCGTTAGAATTTAAAGATCTGAAATTGAAACCAATTGTTATCTTACAAAAACATATGGATGTATGATACTAAAATACAGTCCACATGGAAAGTGCATTGGACATCAAATGCAAGCCTGATTCAAAGGTTTATTGGTTAAAAACTAAATAAAGAGGCCTTTTATATATATAGCTTCTAAAATAAAGCAAACAACCCTTACAGGAAGACAAGCCGTTCTAAATTTCCAATTGTATCTGGGATAGGACCAGAGAAACCACAACTAATAAGAAGTCTGGAAAATAAATAATAAAGGTAAGTGTTAGTTGTTTGGTCAAACTTAATCACATTTGGATTATAATCTTAAGTTCTTAACATTCAATACTGCCTTACAAGTTTCTCAGCTTTCTCAAGTTTCCAATGTCATTGGGAAGTGGTCCGGTTAAATTCTTATTGTAAGACAGATCCCTGCAAAGGAAGAATCAATAACAAAACACAAAATCACCACCTTAGGAAAAATGGTTTCCTATACTCATATCAGGGAAGTAATTTGTAAATGAAAATGAAATAAAGACTTCATGAAATATTATAGATAGTGGCCAAACATGATTAATTTTCAGGATGCTTAGTCCTCAACATTATTTTTTATATATATTCCACACATTCAGCATACTATTTAAGATATTTGATCATTTTCAATAATTATCAAGTGATAGTGTTTAAGCTGAGCATGTTTCAATTCCTTTTAACTGTGACTTGGATATAATATATTACAAGAACCAAAGTAGAAAACTTACAAAATCTGCAGTTCAGTAAGTAATCCAATATCTGAAGTAAGCTGGCCAGACAAATCCATGCTTGCTAATGATCTGAAATACTAGCAACCAAGTTAAGCTTAAAGAAGACAATTCAGGAGTAGTTAGCATTTTCACACGAAATTAAAACTTTAAAGATAAAGTACATGGAGATAATCCGTGAATTGGAACACTCAATGCCATCCCAACCTCCACAAGGATCTGAACCCACCCAATTAGGTGGTGTGTTATGCCATTCATTCTGTAGAGCCAGCAGAGCAGTGTCTGCATCAGAAATTTAAAAAAAAAAAAAAAAAAAAAAAAAAAAAAAACGGGGCTAATTT